GAGTTTCAGGAGAGGTCCGACTTTTAAAATATATCAACATTTCATCATTTCTAAATCTAGTTATTGAGTTTTTTTCAATAACTAGATTTAGAAATGATGAAATGTTGATATATTTTAAAATATTTTGAATAGTTTATTTATTTTGTAGTCACAAATATAAAACACGTCTGAATAGAGACGACGCTTTTTGTCACAAAGATATTTTACAGAACATTATTCAGCATTATTCATTCACTCTAAACTTTGTTTGTGCGCCCTATGCAGGCTCATTGTAGTGAAGTCTTAAGCAATCGTTGTCATCCAACTTTAACTGAAGCACGCGTCTTTTGATGGTAGGAGTCGGGCAAAGTCTACTGGTGTTTCCATGGAGGACGTTTGTGCTGATGGTTTGATCCAGCCATCTGTGGTCATAATCTGCAGTACTGGGCCTGAAGATCTGGCATGGAGTGTACGCAGACAGGTATGTGGTCCTTTCAGAGTGCTTTGCTGGCCCAGGGTGCAGGTTTTTGCTTCTGCTGCTAAGAGGGTCCTTCAGTCCATGTCCCTGTTCCCCCATGAGATTAGAAGTATCTACAATCAGGCCAGGTGTCCCAAGTGTATTTGTTGGGAATATTCGATCTTGGTTCAGAAGGACCCTCCTCAAGCTGTCTGACTTTAACCTCAAGGTTGTCATACTGCTCCTGCACCACGTTCAGCCACGCCTCCACGGTGTCCCTTTGGTTCATACTCTTCCTCAGCTCCTCTCGGACGCTGTTGACCTCCACCCTGAGATGTGCCTCCTCCTTTTGACACATGTTTAATTTCCTTTTTAAGGCCTTTACCTTCTGACACAGCTGCTCTTTCTCCTCTCGCTCTTTTTCAAGCTCCTCTTTCAGCACATCCCGCTCATGGACTAAACCACGTCGGGATGTCACCTTTTCATCAATTGCTTTGACTTCAACTTCCAAATCTTTCTTCCTCCTGTCCAACTCTTCCACCGTAGTCCTCAGAATGTCTTCTTGACTCCTGAGTTTGGTGTGATGTAGCATCAGATCATTTGTCAACTCCTGAAACTCGTATTCTTTGGCTGAGTTATCAGTTTGCCTCTTGAGAATTTCCGTCTGATGTTCACTGTTCAGTTTCTGGAGCTCGAAAGCGTGAGAGGCCTTCAGCAGCTCCTTTTCATTTCTAAGATTTGTCAGATGTTTCTCCCTGAGCTCACATATCTCTTTCTGGTGACCCTCCCTCAGCTGCTGTAACATTTTCTCATGCTCTTGCTCCTCCTCCTGACGTTCATTCTGTAAATGTTCCACCAGCTTTCTGCGGAACTGCTGTAGTGTCTCATCACGTTGGGCTCTCATCAAGGCTCTCGTCGCCTCTTTCATGTTTTCCTTTTCTTCTGCTAACTCTTCTTCCACCTGAGTGTGCAGTTGCTCGAGCTTTTGCTTGTAACTGGCTTTAAGTTTCTTCACCATTTCTGCCTGATGTTCTTGTAATTTAGTTTTGAGGCTCTCAATGGTGGCAGCATTTTCTTTATGTAGTGCCTCTTCCAGTCTCCTCTGATCTTCTAGGCATGCCAGGTGAAAATTCTTGAGCCTCTTGGCATTCTCAGCCTTCATTTGTCCTGCCTCTTGTATGATCTTCTCTTGTTGTCTCTCCAGATCATCTTTGAGGCTTGCTTTGAGGTCCTCTAATCTTTTCTCAGCTTCCGCCTTAAGTCTGGCCTCCTCCTCTCTCGTTCTGGCCAACAGTGTCAGACGCAAATTCTCCAGCCTCTCTGCGTTCTCAGCCCTCATTTGTCTTGCCTCTTGAATGATCTGCTCTTCTTGTCTTTCCAGATCATCTTTGACGGTTGCTTTGAACCCCTCCAGCTTCTTTGCATTCTCAGCCCTCATTTGTCTTGCCTCTTGAATGATCTGCTCTTCTTGTCTTTCCAGATCATCTCTGACGGTTGCTTTGAGCTCCTCCAGTCTCGCTGAAGTCTCATCCTTCATATGTTTTGCCTGTTGTCGGATTTTCTCTACTTGTCTCTGTTTGTTATTTTGCAGCAGTTTTCTGCGTTGCTCTAGGATTGTCTCATGTTCCTCTTTGAGTCTTTTCTCTTCCTCTCTCCTCTTCTCCAAAAGTGACTGACGAAAAGTTTCCAGTATCTTTTCATTGTCTGTCACCAGTCGCCTCTCTGCTGTTAGAGTCTGATATTTTAACTGGCTCTCTAGCTTCTCCAGTGGTAAACTTGAATATTGCTTGCCTGGCCCCATGACTAGACTCTCTGAAAAAGTAACTCTCCTCTGCTGCTGTCCTGTCACTTTGTTCTTTCCGAAACCTAAAGGGGGGCCCTCTCTTTCTGCACCCCTTATCTGCTCCGGTTCCTTGCACTCAAGCCTCTGGTGGTTTTGGTCAAGTGGAGCAGGTGTAATACTGGACTGATACCTTGTGAGGCCTGCCCTTTTATTCTTTAACTCTTCAGAAGAGGAGAAGTCTGTGTCACTCTTCCTCAGTGTAACTGCTGGGGGCGCCCAAGCACGAGCATTTCTTGAAGGAGTCTTCAGATATTTTTTATATACCTGCTCTTGAGCTCTACTATTAAGTTCATCCTCCTTTTTCAGCTTGTAATGATTTGGTGGAGGTGTTGCTGGGCTGACATCTTGTGTAGGACTTGGACATTTTAATTCTGGCTCTGTGGCTGAAGCCTTTAAACCATTAATTTCCTTCTCTTCGTCCAGTTTGGGTTTCATGCCTTTTCCTCTGGGTATTTTTTTGTGTTCACTCCTTTGGCACCTAAGTATGTCTTGCTCATGAAATTGGGGTGATTCAGAGCTTAGACAGATAGATATTCTCACTCAGAAATGTGTCAGTAAAACGTGCGTGTGGCATCTGTCTGCTTGCTCTAGGTAATGTGGTAAGAGCACTCTCAGTTGAATTATGTTGTGCCATTTTTGTACCCTCATAATACTGAACTCTGACGTCATAAATTTTAAAGGAGCTAACGGAATGTCCGTCATGGCAACCAGCGGCAGTATTCCAGTTGCTATGGTTACCTATGAAGATAAAGCTCCACTGGTCTTTACACATACAAGGGTATTTTTAAAAAAACTGAGACATTTCCCTTTGTTTGTACACATCATTTAAACGCAAATGGCGAATTCGCCTCTGAAAACGAATCTTTCTAAAAACTCCGGCGAGAGTGGAGATTTTGGAAAACTCCGGTTTCATGTTTGTGTGTAAACTGAGAGAAACTGAGTTTTAGGAGCTGACGCGCTGAAAGTGCGACCACTGTTTACCTGTTGCTATGACGACAATGATGGAAGCATTCAGAGCAGCAGATCTTTGTACGCAACTCACCGCACATCAGCCCAGAGCAGAAGCTTTGAGCTCGGGCAGCAACGCCAAACACATGGGAGCACTCAGCGCACAGCCCCTCAAGACGGGGCTGGGGGTCCAGTGTTGGTCAGATTGTCCGGAGGCTTCTTCCTCCATGTCCTGGTTCCAGACGGGGGCGAGCAAGACCAGTGCGCAAAGGACTGGGTCCGAGTGCTTCATTGCTGTCGTCTGCGTGCTGATTCCGTGCAGTAAAAGCGAGAATGCGCTGTGGACCACAGGTCTGGGCGGCCCGCTCGACCGCGGCTGGTTTCGAGGTGGTGCAAAGCATCCAGACAGAAGCGTGCATCCAGTTTGGTTCGTTATACGTTGTTCTGAGCGGTCCGAGTGTTTTTTTTTTTGTTTGTTTATTCGGGGAAAGCGCTTCTCAGGTGGAGGCACCAGGCACCACCCCCCGCTTCAGCTCATCTATTTGTTCTGCTGAAACACTTTTCATGTGTTTGCATTTGCACACACAGCTGATGGATCAGATCCATGACTAGAGATGAACAAGGGCTCAGAGGTCAGTGATTTTACCACTTCTTTAACAGATCTCCGGAGAAGCGAGCCCGCTCAGTAATGCACGTTTTTCAAGCTATTTGTGAGTAAAACTTACAACTGTAATGAAATAAATGCTACAGGTTTGAGTCTAACCCAGGTGCTGCCCAGAGGCTTGGTGACGGCGTTCGATAGCATATTTATCCAGGTTGATGTAAACGGAAACTTTTTTGAAAACGATGCTGTGTGCATGATGTTATTTTGGAAAACGGAGGGAGGGAAATATTCGTTTCTCGAAATACCCGGTTATGTGTAAACATAAACGAATCCACCATATCGCCGTATCGGAAACAGTCTGTGTTCAGACACGTCGTTTCTGTGTCCGCAAGCCTTCCCTATCCACACAGCTTTGAGCATATTTGTTTATGTTTTACAGAAGCGAAACTTAAAACCACATGGCTAATTTGCATAAACTAAGCGCTCAAAAAAACAGCTCACTATTGTGCGCTGATGCGGTTCAGATTCTGTCGGACTAAAGGACATGACTCAGTGGAATATGAGGCGTGGTCCTGCTCCTGAATCGCAGCTAATCATATTAACTCCATGTATGAGTGTGCCCTAAACCTGAAGAAAGATTATTTTGGGATATTTTTCATATAAATAAGGTTATGTCCTGGTTTAAGTCCTAGTTCAGTCCTGGTTTAGTCCTGGTTTGGTCCTGGTTTAGTCTTGGTTTAAGTCTTCCTTACACTGAAACGAATCACCGTATCACCATATCGGAAACGATTTGCATCCAGACACGTCATTTGCACATATTTATTTTTTGTTTTACAGAAACAAAACTTAAAACCACATTGCTAATTTGCATAAAACTGAGTAACAAAACAAAAAAACAGCTCTCTATTGCACGCTGATTCGGTTCAGCTTCTGTCGGACTAAAGGATACGACTCAGTGTAATATGAGAGTTCTTTCTGTTAACAGAGGGGTGTTCTGTTTTGCTGGTGAGTCTGTTCTGTGCTTCTGTCATGTTGGAGATGGTTCATGTTAAACTTTATACATCCGCAGGGAGTACACACAGACCATTTTATATGATTGGACATATATTCTAGCCTT